TACGCAATAAAAGCGAAATCGTACGTCCGGGACGACGTAATAAAAAAGGTAGACCTCGATAAAAGTGGCCGGGGCATATCGCGGACCCCGCCGTTGCCGGAGCGGCCTCGCGAGGCGCAGTCGATGTTGTTGATGTTGGAATCGCGTGCCGCGCGGAATGTCGTACCAGTCTGCACCTATCCCGTTGTTAAGGCGTCCCCATCCTCTTCCACCAACCTCGCTCTCGTCGACCACCCCGCGGCTGTGTCATTAGCGTAATCATTCTCCGTCACTTGGACGATTCCTCGAGAGCGTCGGGATCCCGAACCACTTCATATTTAAATCGCCCCGAGTTCGCTTCCACTTCCGACGCACGCTCTTTGGGGGCTTCCTTATTGTGCGCCGCGGGAAATCATAATGATCGCCGATAACGACTCGTCTCGCGAGCTACGGGTTCGAAAAGAAATAAAAACGCTTCTTCGTTTGTGTACGTATCGTGATATCTTACATACATATACGTTCGATTTTGACGTAGAAGATGAAATATTAACGAATGCAATTAGAGAAAGTTTTAATTCAGAGAAACGTTATACATGTTTCATTTGTTTGTTTCCACGGCGATTTATCTCGCGTGAAATAGCCGTTGCAATATTTCGATACGTACATTTGTCATGGTGAGGGTTTACTTGTCAAAAGCACGTCCGCGTCGTTCGAATGGTAGCAGAAAAATAATTAGACGAAACAGACATTTCTCGAGGGAGCACGTGTGTCTCAGAATGCAGGCCCCAGCTGTTAACTGCGCTTCGACTCTATTTAGGCTGCCATATGCCAAACTTTATCTTTCTTTTGAAGACTTGGAACTAAGAGTGACGAGAGCAATTTATCTCCAAATTACTTAGCTATAAATAACGATTGTAGGTATTTCTGATGCTATTTTTGGCCAACTACATAACGTATTACTTCGCATTACTTGCAATAAAACAAATAAAACCTACTAAATGATCCGTAATTTGCGTCAAATTTCAAAATAATTTTCTATTTATAATTTATGCTGTGTATTTTAATATTTCAATATTTTATATATTGAGGGAATGGCATGTACAGGACACATGTAATGATAAATAAAACTCTGCTTCAAACTATAAAGTGAATTATAAATCATCTAAAACAGACAAGAATATCACAATATTTTTTTATTAAATGCTGTGCGTGTTAACTGTGTTTGACAGTTTACATCGAAATAGAACACGTACAATAAACCAGTTCATGCTTCATAGATATGAATATTATTTATTCGGCTACAAATACGTCATGTAATTGATAGATAATGCTGACGAGAAATAACACAAGAAATCACGAATGCGCGCTTAGAGAGTGAACGAAGGGCTTTGTACGGGCGTGATTGGTCATGCAATTTGTTTGTAAACGCTGATTGTGTCTATCGACGACTGTGATTTGTGTAATCGTCTTTGACCCGGGTTATCGCACTTACGGAACAGGCTCTCGTTGTGATGATTTTTATTCACTCGGAGTTTTCCTTATCATTATACATAAACTTTATGTGACCACTGCATGCTTTATGAACGCAACGCTATTACGCAATCTCTCTTGACACGCTTTAAATTATTTCTCAAGTATTCGAGATAGAGTGGCCAAATTTAAATTAGAATTTTTCATTATCGCATTTGTGTTATAATTATTATTTGAATTTGATTGAGCGTAAAAATTCAATTTTAAATAAAACAATGATGTTATTTGTCTATAAAAAAAAATAGAATATCTCTTTCTCTGTATTTCAGTTTCTGTAATATGTATTTTTCTTCAATATGTTACACTCTTTTGTTTATGTATACATATATGTGTATATATATACATATATATGTATATGTATGTTGGAAATGCAACATATAGTAGGAAAGGACATTTTTGCTTGTTAAAAGCTGAATGTGATATCACTGAACTGGAAAGGTGGTGTAACAACGTCCTTTGACTTTGAATACGTATATACAGCCCGGCACAGCAAAAATTAGCTTTTGAAAATAATTCACGTGTGTTATCGGCTACTAAGGGTCGTTTCATGCCGCGGCTTGTCTTTTACGTTATGCTGCATGGGAGTGCTTTTATGTCAATGCTTCAAAGTGGCATATGAGTATCTACGTAAAGGTATCATACGCTACAAAAGTTGAACGTGCGCTTCCAACTTGTTATCATATTGTTATCATATTTCCCGTCCCTGAGATTAATCAACGTATGATTATATCTGTAGCTGCTGATTTATTCATAATTTTTATTCTGTCATTGTACGAACTTAAATTGAGATTTAATTTATATTTTAGTCATAAGTTGTGGTAGCTTGAAATAAGGAAAAGTTTAAAAAGATATTGATATATTTATATGATTTCATGTATAATAATTTATATTTCTTGAATGAAAATATTTAATAACTATATTATAATTTTTTTTTTATTGAAAAGTAGCATGAGAGTCGTATCATTGGAAGATTGATACTTCGACTAGGTAAGTGCACGTGAGTTTCTCATAATAATGTACCATGAAGGATCGTGAAACGATAATTCCGAACAGCATGTCGCGATGGTATGACGAAGAGAAGCATTGTCAATTGCATTCGCGTGGGCTAAAGTACTAATCAGAAGTCGCTGTCTTTTAAGATTATTAAAATCGTCAAAGCAACAGATTCCTCAAAGGGTTAATTATTCTACCGACTGCTTATGGCTGAGCACTGCGCTTTCCTCGCTCATCAGCAAGCAGACGCGAATAAAGAACGAACACATCAACCGAGGATGAGATAGGCCGTTGAGATACCCCTTAAAAAAAAAAAGGCTTTTGCTGTTTGCGAAGATTACTGATTGCGAGAATTAAGTTTCGAATTGCTCGCTTGATCGGCAAATAACGCATCCAAACTGATTAACAGTCAGCGTTTTCCTTAACGTTATCGTGCCATCGTTACCTTTAATTATTTTTATTTATAAATATTTTTTAATGTCTTCAGAAATATATTGTAAGTTATTGTATTTGTAAAATATATATTGTATGATTAATAAGTATAAGATTACACTAGTCGATAAAATTTTTTGTGCTGATTTTAAATCTATTTGCCAAATTTATCAGAGCAGGATTTTTAATAACATGCGTTTAAAAATTCATCTACTTATCTTTTCTGTTTAAATATAAATAAATGAGTAGGAATAGTGAATTTATTATCATGGTTTTCTACTCATAAAAAGCTTCACACAAAAATAAATCATTTTCATTTAGAAATATCTTCTATAAAGAGTTATTGTTAGCAAAATGTGTATTTTTTTAAAAAGAAATATGTTACAAAAAAAAATGATTACACTTGTAGGATAAACATACATATAAAAATCAGTTTAGCAAAATCGTTTAGCAAAATCATTAAAGTGTTATCGAGGCGCATAAATTTTCCATATCTTTTAAACGATTTTGCGTTCTTAATTACTTTCCAAGAATATTACAAAATATTCTTTTATACGTTGTATGATAGCGCGCGTTATTATCGTTATGCTCGAAATTTAGCTACACGAGAGTCGCGAGAATACACTGTCCCGGAGACCACCCGCGACAGTGTCGGATCTCCGGGAAATCCGTCTTATCCGGCATTATATCCGTCTTTCCTCGCTCCAGAACGCCGAGAAAAGAAACTATATAGAGTAGGAAACGTGACACATGTGTACACTCGTACAAAACTGGTAAATGGACTGTCCCTCGTCGCGAAAGGGTCAACGACGAGCGAACGGAAGGAGAGAGGATGAGAGCGTAACGATATCTCTCGCACTTACGCCGTCTTATGCGAGTGTACTTAGACAAAGTACCTGCTTGCAATCGCTTTAAGAGCGAGAGCGTGCCAACTATGAAAGGCGTTAAGAGATGCTGCGCGAGCGCTCTAGCTGCGATAAAGTGCATGTGTAAAACCATCATCGTCGTGCATATGCGGCCATGGATTAACAGTGAGGAAGATGGTAGGAGGAAGAAAAAGAGGAGAAAAAAAGAAAAGGGCTCGTGCAGCCGACGACATCATTTCTCGTATGGTCGCACTTTTAAAAAAACCGCGAACACGCGGTTATTATGGGCACGAGATATGATTCGTGTTTCGCATTAATGCATAAATGTGAAAAATCACGGATGCTAAATGCACGCGATTTATGCTACTAGCGAATGATTTTAGCCGATTGCTCTCTCTCTCTTTCTCTTTCTCTCTCTCTCTCTGCGCCTTTTTTCAATCGCAACAACGGCGGCCAGCTTCCAAGAAGTCGCGTTCTTTCATCGGCGCTCTGACGGGACTCCGCATCATTTTGTCTCGGGATTACTTTGGTAGAATGACCCGGGAGAATGCAGTCGATAAGATTGATTGCGAGAAAGAGAGAGAGAGAGAGAGAGAGAGAGAAAGAGAGAGAACGCCGGGATATTCTCATAAGTACTTAAATGTAAGGGCACTCGGCTCGAGCCAACGCTTCGCTCGTGCGTTGTTTTTTAATGACGAAGTTTCGCGACAGACATTATTCTTTTTTTTTTTTTTTATTGTGATTGCGAATTTGAGCGATCGGGATTACGGTAATCTGCTACGACGGTGTCCACCATACGCATCATTTATCTCCATATCTCTCGCTTCGTCATTCACTGTCTCGGTAAGTGAAGAATTGCGGCGCAGCGAACAAGAACCCGATTATTACTGGTGTGAACAACCTGTAGTTTATTTCCAGCCGGGCTTTATGTCACTGCGTGCGGCTGTATCGCGCAATTGGCGATGCGCTAATTGGATCTCCGTGCCGGCGCTGTCAAATACGGAATAATCGAATTAATTGCGAAATATCTGAAATCTTCATTTGTTGTTTGATGAGTATATAATTACAGAGGAATGACGAGTCGAGTGGAGATTGGCGAGTGATAGAAATTATGGAGAGCGAAGTGAATTAAATTAGAAAGATTTAATGGTCGTGAGATATATAATAATTGAGTTCTAAATGTGTATTTATTAATTACAGGTGGACGGCGCCGTTCTCGTTGTCAACGCGGATTATTGAGGTGGTTCATCATGGTGCGTATGTCGAATTTCTTTTTTATTTTATAAATGAGCAGAGCAGCTACTACTCTCCGAATCGATTTTCTGCTTACTGTTCTGATAGAAATGGACACGTTATATGAACATTATGAGCGCGATGAACGACATTAACGAGTCGTTGAATCATCGTCTACTCCCTCGAGATGTATTTTAGTGCGATACTAATAGCCAAAAGAAATTACGAATTTATAGCATTAACGTCTTCCCGTACAGCTTTGTTTAAGAACGTTACATTCCACTTTCTCAATTCTTTCACAAGAATTAATTTACATTTATATTTAGCTGAAGTCTTTACAAGTAATTTCGTAAATTATTTTGAATCAAAATTAATTATATTTTTTTTTGTATATAACATTATTTTAATTTTTTTTGTTATTCAATTTATTTAAAAAGCAGCTTTGCAAGAATTATTGCAAGATTTTTTAATATGATTAGTTCTTAGCTTTAACTTCTCTCATTGAATCTAAATGTATAAATCAATCATATTAAAGAATTTTATTACAGTTGTAAAAGCTGCTTTCTGCTGAATGCTATTAATTCTTGTCTATAGTTTTTGTCTATTGCATTTATTAGAATTATTTAATTCGGATATCTGTGATTATCTAAGAATGTAGACAGCAAATTGTGAATTAAAATTTTTAAATAATATTGAGTAAAATTTTTTTAACTTGCTTTTTGTATCATTTTGTAAGCATTTGCACGATCACGCATAGAGAGATTCGGCTATTGCAACGTGTTAGAGAGGAGCCGTTTGAAATAGCGTTTGCTGTACTAAACGCTCCTAAATGAATCGTTAATCGTTAACGGCGCGGCATTACGCGGCTCTTACGACGCGCTTATAAACCGGAAATTCACCGGTCGCCAAATGTCCGACTGTCCAAATCGTTCAGCGGCCAGTGTGGAAGTCTTCCGGGCAATAAAGTTGGACCCGCTTTACTGCCAAAAGTAGACTCGCCCCGAACAGACAGATTGTCGGGGCCCGCTTGTTTCTAACCTGTCATTAAACGCGTACGTTAAATGCGCATCTCTTTTTTTTTTATTTCGCCCTGTCGGCTTTCTCCTCGTTCCCTTTTCCTCTTTCCTTTGTCCTTGCGCAGGATCACCGAGAGGCTGTAAACGGTCACCCATCTCCGATGCCAATGGAATGCCGGATACGAACGGAATAGTCCGGATTCCTGGCTTTATTAAGCCCTCGGTTTACGCGAGACATTTCGAGCGCCTGGAACCAGTGCGTGTGGTATTGGAAACAAAGACCGATCCGACAATTTGACTTCGTTTTGATGAGCAGCGTAAAAGAGCGAAGGCGATCGGCCGCTGTAAAAAGCGTTACGGACTGCCATTTAATCATAGCGTTTCGTTTAACGAGATACGTTGCTCCAACTGTTTCCAATCGACTTGTCCCTTCCTCACGCATGAGCAACATGAAACACTGTTTCATGTTGCAAAAAGCAAACTGATATTACGTGTGTGTTGACAAATATTAATATCTAGTTTATTAAATTAAAGTAAAATAAATTCTTACTAAAATGAGTCTTTTCTAAAATCATAAAAGTTATCCAAATTTTCTGAAAATACAGTCTTCGCATTGAATCTTTTAATTTTCAAAAGAATCACTTAAATGCATTTGCGCGAATTTGTTTTTACTATCAGCAAAATAAGTATAAATGATATTTTAATGAATTACTAACAGCCTGTCTAATTTTTCATTTTTTATTTACGAAATATATTGAAGTTAACAGAGATTTTCACAAGTCGCATTAATCAAAGATTTTAACTTATTTAATCGTTCTATTTCTCTCAATAAGAGAAAATAGACATTCTTGTTACAGTGAACAAAGAAAACGACTTTTTCTCGATACTACGTATTTATTTCTTAACTTTAATAGTTACTCGCATGATAGATACGTTAATCTATCAGCCGAAATACATCAGCCAAAGAGGTTCACGAGAAACATTTAGGCGAACGAGCAGTCGCCGGCATAGCAATCGTGAGAACCCGTTACACATTTTGTCCTTCCACTTTTAGGGTTTTATTGGGTCCTTAAAGTTTCGTCCCAGCTAATTCTAATACGCTTTTTTGCGCCGCAACCCTTCGCTTCGCAAACGCAGCGAGCACTGTGTGCTCGCGCCCCGAATAATCGTAAAATTTGATAATTAAATTTAATCGTGCCCCTTTAACGGCCCTGCGCTGTCCATTGTGCATTCTCCCTGGTTCTACTTTAATGACACGATTACTTGAAGCTTTAAAACATATGCTTTATACACCTCGCCTCGGAATGATGATGCGCCATTATGATCCTGACACGTCATTAATTTCGTCAGCGCTTACGACCGCTACCGTGTGGCGTAATCGAGCTCTTGCACGGATCCTCTAAATCGAAACGGTAGAATCCGCTCGCGATAAAATGTTCCCCGACTGAGTCCCTTTCTTCGGTGACAATTCGTTGCAACGGTTAAACTTGATTTTCGGGTGCTCGTACTCGATCACCGTGGCATCCATTTCGAAAAGCTTAATACAAGTGAGAACCAAGTCCACAACTTGTCAAGTTGATTTTACATATGGAAGTGTATCTAAATCATGTGAAAATGCAGTCTTTTTTTCTCTGAACCTTCTGATCTTAACGCGTACGTATGAGTCATTCTGTGTGTCTGTAGTCAATTTTCATTACGTACTTCTTATACATACTTTAATATCTTTAGAAAGTATTTATAAAGTTATATATTAAAATAAAGGAAAGGCCTGTCTATTTAATCAGATGTCTAATATTAAAAAAAAAAAGAAATGAACAAATGAATGACTCAATCATGAATGAAGTGTGTACTTCAGGGTTACAGAAAAATACTTAGTTCTGTGCGAATATGTTTTAACTATCAGCGAAAAGGAATGAATAATATTTTAATGAACTACTTTAAACGGGTACGGCAACATTAAATGTATGTAATATATAGTTTTAGCCTTTATCTAAGCATTTGGCGCTAATAGCGAGTTGCCAGACAGTAAATAAATGATTTTACATTTCGCTAGAGAAGAAGTGCGGTGATACTTCCTGTCGCGATACGCAGAATCGTCAGAAATTTTTTCCTTTCTTCATCCACGGTTTGTTATCTCTCCGCATGGTAAAATATATATCTCATCGTTTGCTTGCACAAACGCACTCGCATATTGCGCGTTATCGCGTCGCGCAGGACGGTCATTAATTGATTCGCGGATCGGACTCGGAAACGCGTGTCTTAATTTCGCATAATTAGTCGCGTCCAGCTGATAGCCTTTTGAATCCCATACGAGCGAAAAAGCGCTCTATCTGCGACGCTATTTTATAATAACCCTCTCTCAAGCCGTATGTCATGCATCTCACTTTTCCACGGAGCCAAAGTGCTACCAATACTTTGTCAAACGTCGTTACGCTCTTATCGTAGCTTAAAAGCACTGTCTGACCTTAACTGTAGTCTTATAGCGTCCACCTCGATTACACCGTTTCTCGGCAATCATCTCGCTGAATACGCGAGTGGCGAGTGTAATTTCGCGGAAGATATTTGAGTGCATCGGCACGCTGGAACGCGACGGAAATATGTACGTATCGTGATAGGTACTCGGCTCCTTCTTTTTTACGGGCGCGTAAAAAAGCGCTGCGTCGGCGGGTCGCCAATTAAAACACCGTACTCTCGACGAACATGTCGCGCATAGAACGATGTGCACACAATTCCGCGCTTCATCGACATTGCGAGTTTTTGATATCGGTTGCGCACACAAGATTGTCCGTCTACAGGGTGTTGAAAAAAAGAATTTTCTAATCTAAGAATGTAAGAGTATTTGTAAATAATAATTCAAGAAGATCCCGATTAGTTAAGCAATTAGACGGAGATCAGTATAAAATAAAAAATATGTTATCATATATATGTATCAAATGTTTTGCATGAGACTAGTACAAAGTAAAAATGTATTTTTGAGTATGCATGTCAATAAAAAGATAGATATTTTCTAGCACTAATCGCTTTTATATATTGATTAATCAAGATTCTTTTAGTTTTTATTATTGACAAAATACAATTACGTTTTGAGATTCTAGAATTAGAATTGTATAATAAATAATGTGTAATAAAAAAGCAGTTTGTCATTCTTTTTTAGAAAATTGATAACAAAAAAGATCCGCGGACATATATTAGGAAGATTTTGTAATCCTTCAACTATTGTTACGCTCTTTTAAATTTTCAAACTCTTTTTCCTAACACCCTATATAGACATCGCGGACGATTGTAAGAGCCAGCACAATGGGGTAGGAAACAAGAGCCGGCGTGCACATCAAAGTCTCGGAAGTTATGGAGTGGGAATGCCGGTGCATCCGGCGCAGACTGATAATCATCTGTACGAAATACTTTGTAATCGTTAATTACGGCGCAGCCACGAGCTTTCGAGGACGGGATCAGGCGCCATTGGGGGAGACAGGAAAGCCGGGGGAGCGCTTTTGCGTTCGGCTGCCACAAAGTAGAGTACAAATACGAGCACTTTGGATCACGGTGGAATCCTCCGCTCGTTCCGGCCCATTACAATCTGGCAAGCTCTTATTCATCACTTTAGTTTTTCATACCGACGGTTATCGCAAAATATTTCTCATAAATCAAATATACTCTCTGCGTATATATACTCGCTAGCCTAGAGAAATTGTCGACATATTTGAAATGTTTTTTATTGCTTCAATTAAACATCACTGACATCTAACAATCTTGATGCTTAATTGCGATTCTAAAATTTGATTGAATGTGTAACGTTCGATTAATATTTACTTTTTCATATTTGTTTCTATAATTTATCATCTCGATCATTTTCCCTCTCTTCCTTTCTTTTCATATTTATTATTTTTTTTTATTTAAAAAATTAGTATCACTTTACTGTCATTCTTGAAGATAATACGAAAGAATGAAACGTGACTAAAAATATTCGAGAAGTGCTCGGCGCAAGAAGAATCGCGCGTAACGGC